ATTCCAAAGAATATTAACAGCTCTGTGGCATGACTTAGGAAGAGAGAGAAAGCTAGGAGGATAGCGATAAAAGGTGAGGCTAGAAAGATCAGCAAGAGCTAGACAATTCAGCTTCTTGTAGACCAAAGATTTCAAGGATGTTAAGGATTTGGGGTTTTAGCTTAAAAACAACGGGTGATGGGCATTAAGGAGGGCACTTGATGTAATGAGCATTGGGTGTCATTTGCAACTGATGAATCACTAAATTCTACCTCTGAAACAAAGAAAAAACAATGGCAAATCTTTAAAGGTATTATAGCTTGATGGATTGGCAAAAGTGAGGGGGGTGGCAATGTTCTTTTAAAAGTGTTACTATTGGGGCACTTGGGTGGCTCAGTTGGTTAAGTGTCTCCCTTTGGCTCAGATCATGATCTCAGGGTCCTGGGATCGAGCCCCGCATTTGGCTCCCTGCTCAGCAGGGAGTCTGCTTCTCCTTCTCCCTCTGCCCCTCCCCCTGCTCTTTCTCTCTCTCTCTCCCTCAAATTAAATAAAATCTTTAAAAAAATGACTGAGGAAGAAAACAATTTCAAGGTTGCCATGCAAGGTAGAAAACCCATTTGCAGTTGGTTACCCTGAATTTATCCATGATTGCCACCTGCAGTTGATGAAGAAGAAGGTGCAGAGAAAGTGGGAAATAGGGCTTTCCAAACTCTTGTAGTAGGAAAACAGAAAAGCAATGTGCTTGTGTTATTGGCAGGAGTGCTATTGAATTTGTGGCTTATGGTCTCTTCACTGATTGAGGAACTGAAGACAGAGTGGGCAGGTGGATTTGGGGACGGGGGTGATGGAGTCCATAATGTGGTCAAACAAATTTCAAGAGTGAGTCGTTAAATAAATAAGCTCAACACAGAGGGTATAGACAGAGAGCAGGATGTTTGACTTAGTGACTTTGGAAGTGGTGTGATATTATGACATAATCAGGTCTAGGATGTTACCAAGGAAGTAGTTTGTTGAAATTATCTACTTGAAACCATGCTAAATATTAACCTCACTCTTCAAGTCAGTGTAATGACAATTATCATTTTTAATCCTAACAGTGGGGTTTATACTATTTAAAAAAAACCAAAATCACAAGCGATAAGTTTGCATGTTCAGTCTCTGAATCAATTCTCATAGAGTTCATTTACATGTCATCAACTGGTAGCAACTGTGACATTTTATATTTAGGGTGCATACTTCCTCTCAATGGCATTCAGATATCTCTTACCCATTTACCAATTTCCTAAGGCTGTGACCTCACAACCTGGGCTGATCATCAAAATCACCTGGGGAGCTTTTTAAATTCATAAGTTCCCAGCCTGCCCACGGTTAACTAGATTCAGCTGTTCTCAGGTCAGGCGTGGGAACCTGTATATTAACAAAACCTTCCCAAGTAATTTTAATAATTCACCACAGATGGCAGCCAATGCCCTGAGAGATGGGGAAGAAGTATGGCTCTGACTTCTCAACTCCTCAATAAAAACTTCTAAAGCTAGACATCTCAAAGGACCCACCTGGAATGCTGGAAGAAGGGGATACAAACTAGAAATAAATGGGGCTGAAATATAGATTTCAGGGAGCTAATTTGTGGATTTTGAATAATTTAAAGATATTAAAACATTCCCTTACTTTACCTTTTCATCTTAAAAAAGGAAGAAGGGCTATTTCACAATTTCCCCATGAATAACATCCAGATGCTAGTAACTGCATTGAAACATTACTGTGTAATAATTATATGATAGACTTTACCATAAAATGGTGTAATTATTTATGATATTGATTTCAAGGTTTCCTTATTGTTTTATATTCTCCTCCATATCTGATTTTTGGAGACTGGAAAAAGAGAGATAAGTTGGGAAGCTATTGTAGAAGACTGTGTTAGAGATGATGGTTGGAAACTATAGAAATTGCAAAAGGAATCCAAAGAAAAGAAAAAGTTGAAAGTGATTTTAAGATAGGATGGAGACAACGTGGGACTGGGAAAGGTGTCTTCAGATTTTGACAGGAGCTCTGAATCTAGCTTTGTATGAGCTTTACCTTTAAGTGCCACTAAGTAGAAAGCTTTTTTATTTTGGTTTAAGGAGTGTATATTTAGTCTTATTTCAAATCATATGATTATTCCTAACATTAGCTTATTCTCTAACAAAAACACAGAGATTTAAAACCAACTTTCAGAGTGAATGTCGTCACACTCTTTAACCTCAGGACCAGAAAAAGAAGAATCGAAAAGCAGATGCAATGTACCTTAGTTCCTATTTCCTACAGGAACTCTTACGAGAATTAAAATAAAACCCCTGGGGGAAGGGAGGAAGTGAACTTAATTATGTAAGTCAGATAAATCAGAGAATACCTAGAGTAAAGTAGTAATAAGACTCACCAACTCCAGATAGAGATTAAACCCTTTTAAAGTCCACATGTTGAGAAATACAGTCAATGTCTATAAAACATTACTGAATGTGCATGATCATGAAGCACATGCATGATCTATGAGTTCGTGCTTAAGTTAAACTCATTTTACTTTTATTTTAATCCTTACAAAATAATGATTCCTTGCAAGTGATAATTGTACCCTAAACGGAAGCCTGACTTTGTTCCTCTCAGTGACTTGAAAGAATTATCGATGGCTTGTGTATAAAATTTGTGATTGATATGAAGTAGGAATGAATAACCAGAGCTGGTTAAAAGACTGAGGATGCAAAATAACATTGACCTAGGAAAACTTTTGATCGGATCTAATTATGAAGAAATGTTACAAATGTATCTTATTTTAAATACGGGTACTTAATTTTTAAAAAATCTTTAGATGTTCAAATGCATAAGTTCAGCATGGGAACTAACGTGGAATAAGAGCAGCACATTGTGAAAATAAGTTCAGGTTTTAATTAACTCAATATTAGCCAATACTGTGATAGAACAGTATAAGTCACTTCTGTTACCTTGGAAGACATCCATGCAAGTATAGTGTTCAGGAAAAGGGAAATGATCTCATTCTTCTCTTTGCTGATTACACTGCATGATGTTGAGTCCACCATACTCTAGAAGGAGCATAAGCAAACTGGGTTGTAACCAATAGTGGGTGAAGACAATAGTACAATAACTTGAATCTATAATATAATTAATTAAAGAAGTAAAATACTTGGCCTATAAAAGACAAGGACACAGCTGGTATCAAAAGCGTGAAGTAGCATTAGATTCATTCTGTGTAGTTCCAAATGGCAGGACTCAGTAAGACCAATGAGTAAAAAGAGCAGCTAAACAAATTTTGTCTCCACACCAAAAGAATAAAGGAGATAATGCCTTAGCAAACTTCAAGCCCAAGAGGAAACTAGTAAAGCTCTTCAGGGATAATACTAACACAAACAGTCTTGCATAAGGCAAAGGAATGAAATGTTCAGCAGCCTTCAAAAATTATTCAAATATTGGTGCCAAACTGCAAAAGAGTCACCTGGGAGATTATTAAAAACAAAATTTCTAGATCCTTCACCTGAGGCTTCTGTTATTTGAACTAATTTGGGTTGTAACCCAAAATTTCTAGATCCTTCACCTGAGGCTTCTAAGTTATTTGAACTAATTTGGGTTGTAGGAATCTTTATTTTTAACATGCTTTTGGGCGATTGTAATGACCAGCCATGTTCAAAAGCCACAGAATCATATTATTTCTAAAAATATATTCCTATTCGAAATGCTATAATTCCAAATACTTACAAAAGATGATGCTATTGGCTAAATTGATGAAATATTCAATAAGGCTAAGATTTAATTTGTATCTATTAATTTGTCACCAGTTAACTTGCATGAATATTCTAGAAATGTGATCTGGAAGAGAATTTGGAAGAATTAAGAAACAAAAGCAAACACTAGTTTGTTTATTATCTAGTTATTCTACTAGATTATATGTATCTACTAGGTTAACTAGAAACATTGGTGTTTGCTAGATGCTATGGAAGTTCTGGGGTCAAATATAATATTCCTTTGCCATCCTACAGAAAGCACCGGTCTTTCTTAGTCTGATATAGGGATTTTCCAAAAGGGAGCAAAGGATCTTTTGTCCCAATAGCCAACTGTATTGTCTGATTGCTACTCATTAAAAAAAAAAAAATGATTAAAAGTTTCATAAAGCACAGATGTCCTTGTGTCCTTAGTCAGCATGAACATAAGTCAGTAAACTCAGGAACTATCTCTGCGATATCTCCTGGATTCTGGTCGCACTGTGTGTCCATACTCACGGGGTAGGAGGCACCAAGACCTCAGACAGTAATTTGTTTCCAGAGAGCAAGGATAGCTGACCTGAAAACGCTGGGACAGAGTCAGAGTTTCCATAGATTAGGCCACTGCTTTCCTACCAACTCTCAGTTTGTCATTAGTGATTGAGAACCGCTGATGAGAACATGGCTGTCCAACAGCTCTGACCTGCCCTCTGTGGGCCCAGCATCTTCCCTGGAGGGGAAGAAGCCCTCAGGCAGAGGATTGCAGGGTTTTCAGTCAACAGCCTCCCATGTAGAGGTGAACTGACAAGGGGCACCTGGAACCATAGCATCTTCTGCTGGAGGCCTCTTCATGAAGGACATAGGCTATCCCTCAGGACCGATCTCTGTGCTTCAGTTCTTCTCTCCTTGTATGCGCTCAGAGACTTTGTTACTTCTTGCTTCTACCTTCTCTGCAGATTTTTAGTCTATATTCCCCCCCAAGCCCTGGTTCCCTATGCCTGGCTGTCAATAGCATCAGCCCACCTGGAGATCTCACTGTCATCTTCAAAGTTTCCAAATCCTTTCTCATGGTCCAAGAAAAATTTTATTCTTTTTATAAATATTTGTTAAGCCCTAACTATAGTGCCAGGCACTGCCTAGGTAGTGAGGATAGGTCAGTAAATAAACTAAATTTGCCTTCACAGATTTCAAAGTCTGAGGTGAATATAGGCAAACAAACAGATGATTCTAGAGTATGAAAAGCACTGGGTTATTGGGCAGTCCAGAAACCAGGGGATGACAAAGAAACATAAGCTGGATGAAGAGTCAGGAATGCTTCTTGGAAGAAGTAAGATCTAAATTGAGACCCAAAGAATGAGTAGATGTTAATGATCCTTGTTAAGATTGTTTTCCCAAGACCCAGCACAGGGCCTAGAGCACAGCAAATTCCCAATTAATGCTTGCCAAATGCACAAATGAGGAAAAAACATTTCAGACTGAGATAAAAATATAGGAGATTCAATGTTTTAAGAGAAATCACTTTGCATTTGGGCAAATGCTAACAACATTGTATGGATAGACAAGGAGTAAATATTCATATGGGATAAATAATATTAATGCTAAAAGAGAACTATTTATGCCAATAGATAGAAATGTGACTGCAAACTTTTAAAACTATTAAGAGAAGGATCCGCAGGGGATGTGAGCTCTACATTTGAAACCTGAGACATGAGTGGGAGTTGTCCAAAATAGAGATGGGGGTAGCAGTCATGGTAAACGAGTTGGAAAAAAATCCTAGGCAAAGGAATAGTTTGTTTAAGGTTGAAATCTCAGCGACTTGGCAAGTTCAGGTGGTAAGGCAAACAATTCAGTAGTATGAAGGGGAAGACAAGACCAAGGGGCTGGAGGGTCCGGATCATAAAGTCTTACAGATCATGTTAAGATATTTGGGGTTACTTGAGGATAATGATCGATCAAGGGGTTATTGATGATCAGGTAGAAGGAAAGAGTGAGATGGTGAGAAAATCAGACTGGATGGCCACCTAGACAAGGTTTCTGAAGGTTAATATTTGTGTCCCCACATTCCAAGGCCTGATTTTTGACTTCACGGTTTCAGAAATTTGTTTTCATCAGCATAATGGATTGTTCCCTGGTAGGCAGATTCACAGTAACAGAACTTCCAAGGAACTGTTTCTATAAATTGTATGAATTTTCCGGTGCCCAGTATATTCATATCCCCTACACAGAGCCTCTCCTCCCTTCTCTGTGTAGGAGTCTAGGCCTCAGAAGGTCACTTTTTAAGTTGGAATTTGAAAACACAGACAAGGAAGGTATACTCTGGGATATTTCTGAAATATACCCAATTCCACCCTGTGGCTCTCAACCCAGATTGTACATTAGAATCACTCAGGGAACTTTTTAAAATTACTGACATCCCTCTTTGACCAATTAAATCAGAATCTCTGGGAGTGAGCCCCAATTTATTTTTGTAAACCTCTCACAATATTCAAATATTAAGCCACTGATATGGGCCCTTGGCATGACCTCCTGAGACACTTTCTTGACTGAGTCATTGTTCACATTCCTACCAATTCAGCATTTGCATTTTGCTGGACGAGACAGGATACACACTGCCAACTTTCTCATTTCTGACTCCAGGTTTTCTAGCTGCCGATGCAAACCACCTCTGTTCCAATGACATATACTTCCTTTCTCATTTAAAAATATTTCTAACACACAGAAAAAATAGAATAATAAACAACTGTTAACCCAATACCAAACTTTGCCAAATCTTACCATTTTGTAAACTTGCTTCAGATTTTTTGTAAAATTAAAGATACGAATTTAAGTGCTCTATACACCCTTGTCAAATCCAATTTCTCTCCTTCTCTGCTTAGGGGTATTCATTATTATTTCAGCATGTTTTATCCTTTCACCAAAAATGGATGCATTTGTACAAGGGATATAAAAACAGTATTGTATTGTATATTTATAATTTATATATAAATGGCATCATCCTCCATGTACCCAGCAATTTTTTATCTTTGCTTGAGTATGTTTTTAAGGATTACTCATGTAGATACATGTAGTTTTAAATCAACCATTTTCACGGATGTATAAATTACATAATTTTGTATAAATGTAGCTTTCACGCTCCCTTTTCTCCATTTTCTCTTGGGTATATACCTAGAAGTAGAATTGTTGGGTCCACGTGTATATGCATCTTTAACTTTACTAGATGACCAAAGTATTCTCTATAGAAGTTCTCATTTGGGATGCCTGGGTGGCTCAGTCGGTTAAGCGGCTGCCTTCGGCTCAGATCATGATCCCAGGGTCCTGGGATTGAGCCCCTCATCGGGCTCCCTGCTCAGCGGGGAACCTGCTGCTCCCTCTCCCTCTGCTGCTCCCCCTGCTTGTGCGCTCTCCCTCTCTCTGACAAATAAATAAATAAAATCTTAAAAAAAAGAAGTTATTATTTCATTTCCCACCAGCAGGGTGTGAAATTTCCCTTGTGTCACATCTTCATCAACATTTGGTATTGTCAATACCAACTTAAAATTTTCACCAATCTGATAGGTATGAAGTAATATTGGTCTTAATTTGTAATTCCTCGATTACTAGTCAGCATCTTTTCCTACGTTTATTGGCCATGCAGTTTTCCTTTGTAAGGAAATAAGAGTCATGAAATATTTCAGCTAGCAGAGAAATATGTATGGTGTTCTTCAGGGGAGAATATTTCAAAACTACGTTTATCAGTGGAAACGTAGAACTAAATACCCATTTGATAATGAATTATGACAAATTACATTGAATCATAGGAGGAATATATGAAAAGTATCCTGACATGCAATATCAGAAAGTAGAAAAATGTATGCAGGTAAATGTTTTGAGCAAGCAAAGGGTTTGGATGGAACCGTGGAAATTATTTAAAGAAAAGGATTCCTCTATCTCACTGGCAAAGGAGATTGACTTTTCATTGTTTTTATAAACTCCACATTTTATCTAGCAGATAAATTCTGCCTCATTATGGATCTGATACATAGAGGGCATGTGTACTGTTACTTCTACAGCAGATGGTGCTTCCAGAAAGGAGAGATTTCAATGAAATTGAAATATTTTGGGAGCTAGAACATGTATGGAATCATTCTGCTATTCACAGACACTTAAAGCTACCCTTTGGGATCACTCAATTACACTAGAATGAAGAGTTTTTTCTGTTTGTGCCTAGCAATTAGAATAATGCCTAGCCCACACCGTTTGTTCAGGAAGTATTTGTTACTAATTTGGAACTTTTGTAGGTGTGTTAAAATTGCTTTAGGAAGTTGCTTTATGAAGTTTACCAACTTTTTGTGTATATCATTATTTCTGTCATGAACAAATTAATTTTTTCACTGAGTCAGTTATACGATTTGTTATATTCACTACTGATTTTAGAGCTTTTAGATTTGATAAATTTCAAAACCACTTTACTTTCTTACTCTTTGTCTTATTTCCAGTGTTGAGAATAATTCTTTCTGGTTTTTCTTAATACACAAACTGAACTCCAACTTAGGAAAATTTGCTTCCTATTAGAATACCAAATGCTCTTGGGTTTTCAGAAAAGCCCACTTTGTTCTTTTGTAAGCTTCTATATGTATTTTAATCAACTACTAGGAATCTGTATAACTTGGCATTGTCTTTCCTTGATCTTCAAATCTTCAGTAAAAAAATTTTTTTAAATACTTGATGGCTGAGAAAATTAGGGAACATGATTTCTTTTTAATGACATTATATCTTAAGTGTTTGAAACAATTTAGTGTCATCAGTAAATTAGTTTGCTGAAGTTCTTTTCAAAGAGAACTCCAGACAAAGAAGATCAACTACAGGACTTCTTCCCATGTCAAGAATAAGTAGAAATAAAGACAATGAGCCATGACTAATTCTGTGTCTATTTGAAACCAACGATCTTCATTTACATGAAGATTTGGATAAACTCCAAATAACAGAAACAGAGGAGCTATGAAGAAAAAGTGGAGAATTCTGGAAAGAGTGTTAAAGGGCACTCTCCTGCACTACTTAGTAATCCCTCGTGGCTCTTCTGAATCGGGCCATCCCAGGAGGCACAGATAGGCCACAGATAATTACAATCTGTTTCTGTCACAGAGGCATGGGCGGGACGCACGTGGTGCGTATTCTGTACCTCTGAAAGCTGTAAGCATCAAGTCTTTGCTTCAGTACCCCACAAACACAAGATCTGAAATAGGTTAGATACAGGTAACTAATTTTTGCAGGAAGGTAGGTCCAAATGGTAGCAAAATCTCTTCTGCCTTGACTTGGAAAGAATGAGAACAGACACAGTGAGGAAATGTCTATAAGGATTTAGGTACCTGGAAAGCCCCTATTATGTCCCTGTCCTCTAGCCTACTGACCAGTCCACATCATTATCACCATGACCACTACCAGCTGGTCTTAAGGTTCTAAAATGCAAGTCGATGTTTGACCATTTTTGTGACCATTTCCTTGATTGGCGTTATGTAATAGAAGTAGTCTGAGGAAACTCACTATCGAGGGCACTGGTTCTAAGCAGACAACTCAGAAATAATCAAGTGGTTTGGGGGGGCGGGTGTGTGTGGAATTGTCCTAGCCAGGATCCAGACACTGATTCTACTCAGTCTGATATTACATGAATCCTGCTTTCCAAAAGGGAAAGAATATTCTTCTTTATGTGACTTCTGAATGAACTTCTTTCACCATTGAGAGTCCAGCATTACACACCCCTAAGCCAGTGTGGAAACCCCCCAAAGGGAGCAGTTCCTCTTCTGCTTTTTAAATGAACTGACCAAATTTTTTTTCCCAGGAAATCTCTAGGAATTGGTCTTTCTTTCTTTCTTTCTTTCTTTCTTTCTTTCTTTCTTTCTTTCTTTCTTTCTTTCTTTTTCATCTATCATCTTTCTTTCACATATAACTTTTTACTGTATTCAAGAGACCCACATTCTAAGTAATGTTAATTTAGTTAGGTGGTAGAAACATCGCAGCTGTTTTTAAATTCCATATTAATGTCATGACAGGATTAGTGTCATGACATGGTTTTTTTTAAACACTATTTGAGTTGGGAAAATTAAGCCTCATGGAGAATGACTTTCTTCTCTTGTGGCTTTATGAGTGCCCATACATTCACTGTACATATGTGTTCTTGGCAATTCCCCGAGATGTTCCAGTCCCAGGCACCATCGTCACTGGAAACCACAACCTGAAGATGTGTTAGCCCCGTCTGTACATGGACACTTGCTCTGTGCTGGAGCAAGGATCTCATCCACAACCTATGGTCTAAGGCTAACCAAAGTATGGATATAATCTTTTTGTAAGAAA